AGGGAGGGGGGGGGGGTAGAAGAGGGGCTGTCGCTGTCCAAAACTCCAACACATACACGCCATGTCATGTTGGATCGCGTCTGCCCCCCACCCCCCTCGTCTTCAGCTGCGATATGCATAGCACAGCGCGCCGTACGGCACGACGACGAAGTTAAAGGTGACATTTGGCCGTCCACTCGACAAAGTAATATCAGCGGCGACAAATAATGCCAAACAGACGAGCGGAGGGACGGCGAGCGACTCGCAAACGAGACGACGCGCTCAGGGCGGGGCTGGGGCGGGGCGGAGGCACCTGTTGTTTGATAAGGATTCGCGAAACAAATCCCCCTCCCGCAGGGGGCGTCGGAGACAGAGGAAAGCTCCGCGAGGGTACACGTCGAGCACGTACCCGACAAGGAAGGGCGTTGAGGACACACGCGGCAGGAGAGCACCACGACGGCGTGGACCGAGATCAGCTCCGCGGATATGAACCCCGTCCAGTCCTGTGTTTTAGCCGACGCAATGAGCCCGATCAATGGCAGAGAGGCAGTGTGAGTGGAGGCGGGGAGAGGGGCAGAGGGGCAGGTGAGAGCACCACGGGCCAGCCCAGCCCAACCGCGTCAGGCAGGCCGTGGTGCGCGGCCCGGCCCAAGGCCAAGAGCGCGCACTCCAAGGCCAAGATCACCTCGCGAGGAGAGCGGGCGGAGCGGGCCCAGTCCTGCCCGTCCGTGGCGTGGCGCGCCATCCGTGAGACGCTCCACCGCCTTGCGCCCCGCCGCGCCCCGCCCCGCCCCGCATTGCCCGACGGCGGCGTTGCTCTGGCCCCGCGATGCCGCGACGCCGCACTGCCGACCGACACTGATCAGCACGAGTCCTCCCTCTCTCCCTTCTGTTCTTCCCCTCTTCCTCCCCACGCTGCGACATGTCGCCCCCAAATACATAAGCAGCAGCAGCGCGACAGAGGGGACCGCGTCTCCACATCAGACTCCCTGACTCATCGTATCTAATCGACATGCACCCCTCCCCCAGCTCTCCCCCACAACGCCACAACATCAAGCCCCACAGAGTTTGGACATCAAAACCACACTGCGCTTGCGCTTACACTTTGTGAGTGCGGGGCCGTTTTGGTTGTGGGACACTTTCGTGCCTCTTCTTCTTGTAGTGCTTCTGGTAAAAGAGGAGCAACAGGCAGGTACTCGTGACACCCGCGGCTCCAACCGCCCGGCCACGCCAGGTGTCGACCCCCTTCCCCTCCC